CCGAGTGGGGCAAAGCCTCCTGAGGATGGCTTTGTTTTGGCTGGGGCTTGCTCTTCGAGCTCCCCTGAGCTATTTGAACCTGTAGATTTCTCCTCTTTTTCTTTTTCTTTCTTTCTTTCTTTCTTTCTTTCTTTCTTTCTTCTATGAAAAATAAACACCTTATTAAATGGACATTGGATCGCAAAGGATGACACAGCAATGAGCTGACCTGCATCTTCCCTTGTTTTTCTGCTACTCGCTTATGGATCTTGGCCAACTGTGACCGAAATAACAAAGACTTTCTGGAGTGTCAGAAGAGAGAAATCAATAGTCCTTACCTCCAAGAAACCTGAACTCAACTCTAGTAACTTTCTTTAGAGCCAGGCTCACGTCTCCCCAAAAGAGAGAGAGTATCCCAAGACATTGGCAGAGTATCTTTGCTTTGTCTCGAATGAAGGGGCTTTCTTCCCTGGGAGGGAAATACCTGTTTTCTAATCCTGCCTCATGACCTTCCAACTGACTGGGTGTCAGGGAGGCAGCACAGGAGGATTCTAGCCCAGAGGATGTGGCCGACGATGCAGAGCTGGGAAATTTATAGAGAGGCGCATTGTTTGACTCGGCACCCGGCCAGGTGGGTAAGGACTTTTACAAGTCGAGCGCTATAAAAGAGGCAACGGAGCTCTCCTTGCCGTTGGGTGCTGTGCTTCCATCCCGAACCCATCAACAGGACATGGCAAATGAAGAGAAACACCCTGAGTCCTGGCCAGGAGGACTGTACCTGAAGACCCCTCCCTACGTAAGTGGTGGGTTCGAGGCACGCTGGATCCTTGTGGCTATTGATTTCAGGTGCTATGTCTGTTCTCTCTCTCTGAACTTCTCAATTTGTTTTACAGACCCTCCACTCTGGCCTGGAGCTATCAGAGACCCCTGCAATGTCGAACCACAAGCTGGTGGTCATGACAGTGGGCGCCCTCTCTGCTCTTACCGTCAGCATCGTTGGGGTCCTCTTGGCGATGTTCCTTGGGCGAACCGCTTGTGTCCAGGTACTGAAAGGGAGGCGGCAGCAGGACTGACTGAGGATGTCTCTGAGTGCTGCTGTTGTGGCCAGAAAAATAGGGTGCTAATTAAGAAGGGGCAGGAGCAGAGCACAGAAAACCCTCAGGTTTAAGTTTCTGAGCTTGCCAGGTTAAAAGAGGGAGGTTGCACCAAGCATCTGGCCCTGGACAAGGCAGCTGGAGCCAATGCGATCCTGAAGCGTGATAACTGAAGTCAAAACAGCACATTCTGTAGCAGCGTTATGAACAAGGAGCAGGATAAACACCCCAATGGGTGTAGGGGTACTGCTTCCCGCACACCCAATGTTGGATTTGTAAGACCGACTCAACCTAAACAGGTAGTAATGTCAGTGCCCCTGAAAAAGAAAGAAAAGAAAAAGTAGTAAGGCATTATTGGGAATGAGAACCCACAGATAGGGTTGTGCTTTTCGCTGTTCTGCTGGAGAAATCAAGGCAGCGTTGAACACCCCAATCTGACTGTCTCTCTACCTTCTTTTTTTGACCTCCCTGCTCATAGAGGGGCGCCTTCAGCTACCTGCCTCAAGTTAATGTCCAGAACGAAGCATCCTTGCTTCTGGCTCTCAGTGAACTCGACGGGCAGGGTCTGTCTCCCGGCATTACCTGCGATTTGAGAAACGTGAGTCACGGCATCGGCTGCGTGGCTGGAGCTTGGGAGGGGGTGAATGGGGTAGTCACACCTTTTCCCTCTTCTGGCCTAGCCTCGTTAATTTATCCAAAGTGCATTGGAATTACTGAAGGATGTTCTTCTCCCCCTGTAATCCTCCTGCTGCTATAAAAAAGTGTCCTCCCACAGCTGGGCAAATGGACTAGATTTAATTGAAGAGCGGTGGGGTGTATTGTCTGGACCCCGTTCTGCCAAGTGGGATTAACGATGCCACTAAAAATGAGGTGGGAGAGGAAGAAGAGGTGTCTAGTTTTGGATTACGGGGAGCAGAGATTACCTGTGGTGAATGCCAACCCCGTTGTCTTTGGGCTGTTTTCCCTCCAGCACCTGATGGTGTACCACGGACAACCGGAAGGGTGTGTGACCCGCAAAATGGAGCCATCCGAATTGCTGCCTTCGTGCCAAGAACTGGAACGCTTTTTCCAAGCTGTCCTGGTAACTCTGCTGCTTCGGGGGCACGGGGAGGGGGCAGGGATGCTACTCCCATTGCAGAGAGCAGACGTTCCAGCCCTGCGTAAAATGCTCCACCCGCACGGCTGGGTTTGTCGCTCTTTCTCCACCCCCTGCCCCCTCGTCTTCATAAGGAGAGAGGGGGGTGCAAAGGGAAAGAGGAAAGGGGGGGACCCAAAGCCATGTTTGCTCGACTCGGTTCCAAATGCTCTTGCAGAAAAACGTCACACTGGGAATCACCACGGAGGTACAGATGATGGGAACCGGGGCCCTAGGCGGCCTGGTCACTTTGCTGTGCAGCAACAAGCCGACATACCTGGTTGGAAGCTCGGCATGTAAGTTGTATGGAGAGGCCAGGCTGTGCAAAACTAGCCGTCCTCCCTGCATCCCGGACGGGGGCACGCAATGCTCTTCCCCACCCAAAACACGCCTCCCCTCCCCTCCCCTCCCCACTCGAACAAAGTCAGGCCCTTCCTTCTTTTCAACCCTTTTTTTCAGCAGCTTCTCCGAGGCATTCAGTGACCAGACCTGCTTAGGAAATGGACCCCCTTATTCCTTCCATCAAAATCTTCCCCTGCCACGGAAGAGGCAACAAGATGATCACATGGATGGCTGAGTCTACCACGGAAAGGGGGCAAGCCACCAAGATGGACCACCTTGTTCCTTGCCTTTAAAATGGCTGAATTTGTAGCAATTAAAAAAGAACAACGTGGAAGTGTTTTCTCTCGAAAGCAGCCTGTCTGTAGAATCCCTGAAAAAGGGCAGAACGTGGTTCAGTTAAGAAAAACTCTGTATTTCAAAGCAAAGCGTTTCCAACTTTGAGAACACTTGGGAAGTCTGTCCATAGCCACCGATCTTTAAATACTCTGCTAAAAACAGGAGTCAGTTCACCTGACTGGCAAAGCCAGGGGAGGAGAGAGAAAAAGGGTTATGCAGAAGGTTGTCTCTGATTTAACAAAATTATTAATAGGCTTAAACGTTTTTGAACTGCAGTTCACTTCATCAGATGCAGTTCCAGGCAGCTTCTGATATTTGGCTACCATCAGCTAACACGGTTGTCCTCTGGCAAGATCGAGTACATCCGGAACAAGCAGAGAGTTATAGTAGCTGGGGTAATTGGTGCAGCATTTTACAATCAATAGCAAGTAATGGTTGGAGGAGAGGGTCATGCTTGAGAGCTCCCTGGGAGCATCTAACAGACAAGGGTCCAGAAAGGGGTTGCAATAATGCCTGGAGAGAATTAGATCTGGAAAGGGGCTGAGGAGCTGGGGATTCTCCAGCTTTAGAGGAAAGAAAGTTCAGTTTCTCGCCTCCGTCAGTCACAGAGGCAGATCAGCTCCCTGCAAGCTTTACCCAACTTCCACTGCTTGATTTTAACCCAATCACGATGCTTTGGGAGCCCGCTTTAAAAAAAAACACACCGAGTGCAGAGAAAATTTAAGGGTTTTATTAACTGTTCAACCAGAAGCAAAATGAGAAAAGGACCCCACCCCCCAACAACCCCACATCCTGCAGACAGACAGCCCCTGAAAGATTATGGCAACCGACCACTATCGGGCCAGACAGCCCGGGAGGTACACGGGCACAAGGACAGGGAGGGGCTCAGCCCCCCCTCACTTCTTGTCTTCCTCCTTCTTGTCCTTGTTCTCCTTGGAGGCCTGGGAGGCCAGAGAGCCCATAGCGTTGCGGATGGCCTCGTTGTTGGGGTCGACCCCCGGCAGGTTTTCTAGAACGCTCTGCAGGAACTCGGGGTCCTGCATGACATCGTAGTCGTCTTCTTCCTGAGGGAGGGAGACCGGGGCCGTGCATCACAGCAAGCCGTGACTGGGTTAATCTGGGATTAGGGAATAAACCACAGGGGAGCCCCTCCACCATCTGAGCCAGGAGTCCTGTGAAAGCTGCGAGGGCAGGAGAGGAGGTCAGGCCCAGGAGCCCTCTGCACCACTGCCATCCTAGGCTCCTTGGCCCCTTTTAAAAATCAAAAATTGTCTAGAGAGCGTCCCCAAAGCTGCAACCACGACCCTAAATAAAACATGGAATGTGGGCCAGGGGAGATCCTTTCTCATGAGGAAGCCCTGAGAATCTCTTGAGCATTCGTCCTCTGGATCTGGCCCTGCCTTCAGGGCTGCCCCGTTCAAGCCCAGCTCGGTGCCCCCAGACTCAAACCTTGGCAGGTTCTGACGTGTCCATATCAGCCGAGCTCTCCCCCTCCGCCGACTCGCCTTGTCCAAACTCTGGGGACGGAAAAGAGACGGTGGCAGTGGGAGTCCCCTGGTCGAGGTTTCCATCCCTGGAAACGGCCCAGCCTGGCCCCCCCACTCACCGGCCCCCTGAAGAGACATCTGCATGGCGTAGGCGATCTGCTCCTCTTCGGTCATGGTGCTGAGGTCAGGCAGGCCAGCTCGGCCAAATTCTTGCTGCCCAATGGTCATTTTCAGCAGAGCATCATCTGAATCTGGGATACGGGAAAGGAAGGGGTGAGTTATTGTTTGTGGGTGGTCTTCGATGCTGTGCTGAGCAAGGGTTGGACTTCCATTTCTACGAAAGGGACTGGCTGGCAGTACGCAAATGCGTAGCCACCTTCCCTTATTTTCACAGATGTTTTTGAGACTAGTTCAGTTGAAGAGAGCTCTCTTGAACACACGCAAACGCAGAAATTCCATTCTTTCTTTTTTAGAAATGAGGAAAACAGGGAATAAGGGCCTCGGTGGGCTCCAAAGAGAAAAATGTCACCCTCCCCCTGCCAGTTCTTTGCTTACCATCCCCACCAGTGGCTGGAATACCAGCCTCCGCCGGCGTTCCTGCCCGCCCTCCCCCCCCTCCGCTCCTCCCTAGCCTTGCGTACCCCGGTTGCTCTCCACTCCCGCGCGTACTGGGGTGGCCGCCGGCGGG